TAGAGGGAATCAGCTTTTAGATTTGAGAGGTTTAGAGCGACACGGAGCGGTATAAAGCGGTTTTCATGATTGTTGTCAAACGCCAACAACCGCTACCACCCGCAAACGCAATCTTTTAAGTGTTAAATCTAAATACTTGGACGTTAAGAATAACATACCTTCTTTGGAGCGATTCAGATAAGATTGGGTGCCTCAATTTTGGAAAGTATTTGGCAGGTCGGAATTTTTGAGATGAATTCGAGTATGGACATGCCGAATCGGAATAGCGTGATCTAGAGATGTGGTTCGAGATATGTATATTGGAGCTGGATATGGTACTTTGATCCACAACCATTATTAAGTTAGATAAGACGAATCTTGATGGTAGATGATGTGAGTATATATTGACGAACCAAAAAGAGCAAGTGACTGCCTTGAACTTGAACCATGTAGCATTACGTGCTTTGAACTGGTGCTTTTCAAGTCTAGACTTTGGTTCAACGACCATAGTTCAAACTCTCCTGCTATGTAGCATTACAATTTTCCGTTTTGGATATTTTTTTATTCAGTCTTCTTGATTCAAAATCATTTATTTATTGCTGTAAAAGAATGCATTTATTATTTGCCATACAAAATATAATTCTTTGGTCAATAACTCTTAAAATTATATTTTTATGATATGTCCAAAGAAAAGTATGACTTAAGTGTTAAATATTTGAATATATTTTGTTAACAATTTAAATGGTTTGAAATTCAAAATTAATTAATTAACTACTGGTTGTATAACAAAAGATATATTTCTATAGTTATAAGTTTTCTCAGTCAAGCTTAACTACATTACTTTATTTTACATTATATAAATCTAACACTATTTAAATGTTTGTACCAAATCAAAATCATAAAAAAAAACAAAATTTGTTTTTAGCTAAATAAAACGTATTGATATTATTAAAAGTCGGAACTTTATTTTTATTACATAGTTAAAAAAAGAAAAACAAAAAACTGTCAGAGAAATTGAATCACGTCCAAGTCACTTGATGCAAGAAGAAGGCGAAACCAATTAAATCCCGT